ATATATAAAGGTACATGATCATATCTTATTATTCTTGCAATGACTCTTTAGAACTCTGAATTAAAAGTACAAATCCTTTATTCATACCTCCACAAAAATACTGTTTTTTATAATGAATCGACTTGTAATTGTTTTTGCTTTTACGATGTCAAATCTGCGCAGTTCCCAATGATATGCAGCGCTCATGTTTGGATAACCTCGCATATCGTAATTCTTACTATAAGTACTGTTCTATCCAAACGAACTGTAAAATGTGGCACTCTTAAAAATTTTATGAGATCTAAAATTCCGACTCATCTATATGCCTTAACATTTTACTTCACTCCATCGTATTTGTATATTGTATGCATCTGACTAGAGCTGTTTTTGAAATTATTTTTAAAAAAGTACTAATAGTTCTATGAACACATCAACGACTCCATAAAAATGATGACAAGTGCAAGTGATTTAAGTAGCAAATTTGTACATTTGTTGATATGACTGAAGTATCAAGCAAAATGTAAAAAAATATGTATAAGAATATCTATGTTCCTATTTAAAATAAAGTATGCTTACTTACTAGGGGAAGGGAAAAATCGAAAACGAATTCAGAAGATAATTTCGATCTGCAAAATACCTCTAAAATTATTAATTTTATGAAAGGTTTGGTCGATGTTCAAGTGGCTTTCTAATAAACTTAGAGCTTTAACTATAATAGCAGAAATTGACAAAAATATTTCCAAAATAGTTTTGTGTAAAGTCCTGAGAATTGCTAGTTTCTTATTATAGAAAAGATAAGCTCTCACGAAAGCTTATTATTAATAACAATGAGTATTCCAGCTTAATCAATCATAATACTGAAAATAGAATGTCTAGTGGCTAGATATCTGCAAATTTTGAGAATACTAAGCTCAAAACTGCATTTTTCAAAGTTCTTAAATTTTCTAACATTATGGAAGACGTAGCAAACTTTAATAAAAGTATATAACCATTGTGAAAACTTGCAGATGTCTACATATCTTTTTTGCAAACTGTTAGGGTAGGTTATAAATGACTGTAGAGATAAAGTATAAATTTGATTTGGAACAAACAAGTACTTTATTTAACAGGACAAAAATACAGTGAACATTAAGCTGAGAGACGGTCATCAAATATCTGAACAAACTATCTGTTCATGCTGTAGCTCGAATCCTGTTGAGGAGAGATTCACGGACAAAATGATACAAGTCACGTTGTCGCTTCGCTTCGAGATCCAAGGTTGCCTGGCCGTATTTTTGAGGTTTTGAACATAATTTGAGTCTCGTGGATTTCACATCACGCAACAATTTAGTGAACAGAAAGCATCGTCGTTTCGCCAATATCTGCGACGGATGAATCAGTTTTCCCTTCCTGTAAACGTCGAATCAATGATAGTGTTTCTAACATTATGACTAGAAAAAATGGCAGTTTAGTAATAAAGAATTTACACCAACCAACAAATACTAAATCTGACGAATATAATATAATATGAATATTATATTTATATTTATATTATATTACATTATATTTATATTTATATTATATTATATTATATTATATTATATTATAT